AGTGTGTTAAGCTCCAGGAATGACTGAACCGAAGAGTCAACAGCTGTGTTCTGTGTGTCGTCGAGTGCATTGTGAGTTGTAGCGTGGGGAGTCTCCAGAGTACATGGAGTTCCAAAAACAACCGAGCAGAGTCGGGATCTGTACTCTGGTGCAGTGAAGCCGTCTGCACCATTATTGTCTGACAGTGTGAAAGCTGTGTCACTGAACGTGTCAGCGTGTTTATAACAGTTCGACGATTGTAAAAGTGATTTAGGAGCTGTCCTGATTAATATTGGTAACTAAAATGTGTTTTTATATTCCATCGAGTGTTGTCATCATTATTCACTCCAAATCTACACGAACCCCTTACGAACGTGAAGCAAGAAAATAACGTAACAACTGGTGTCAGAAGAAAAACTCAACAGTTTGTGTCAGAAGTGGAATTTGCCAGAGGAAAGCCATGATGGAAGAAATGAAGACTTTGATGGACTTTTTAGCCGAGATGAGGGCTGAGATGAAAGCTGGACAGGAAGAGATGAGAGTCGAGATAAAAGCCAGATATGAAGAGATGAAGGCTGAATTGAAAGCTGGACTGGCTGAGATAAAAGCCGGATATGATGAGATAAAATCTGGATATGAAAAGATGACAGCTGAGATGAAAGTTAGCCGAGAAAAGCTGCAAGAGTAACTACCACAGATAAAAGTGGAGCTTATAAAACCAACTGGAGCCATAAAAGACGATGTGGAAATAAGAGAAGTGGCATCTGAAGAATCATAGGTTGAAGAAATGAAGGAAGTACTAGAACTGTCGAGGAAGATGAAGAAATGAAGGATGAAACATTTAACAGGATTAAAGGAATAGAACGAAGGCAGAACTAAAAGCGGGAAAGAAGCTTTTGATTCTCAGTGCATGAAGTGGAAGAAAGTGAAACTGCAACTGTTAAGTTCATCAACTGGCTGAGATAAAAGCTGGATGTGAAAGAGATGACAGCAGCTGAAATAAAAGCCGGACTGAAAGAGATAAAAACTGGAGAAGAAAGCCCGACAAGAAGAAATAAATGTCGACCGAGAAAAGCTGCGAGAGCAACTCCCACAGATAAAAGTGGAGCTTGCAGAAGAAACTGGAAGCCATAAAAGACGATGTAGGAAATGAGAGAAGTGGCATCCGAAGAATCAAAGGGCTGAAGAAATGAAGGAAGTAGCTAATGAACTGTCTGAGAAAGATCCAAGAAATGAAGGAGTGAAATATCTAACGAGGATTAAAGGACAGAGATCGACAAGATGAAAAAATGAAAGACGGGAAAGAAGCTTTTGATTCTCAGTGCATGAAGTGGAAGAAAGTGAAACTGCAACTGTTAAGTTCATCAACTGGATGAGATAAAAGCTGGATATGAAGAGATGACAACTGAGATGAAAGACAGCCAAGAAAAGCTGCAAGAGCAACTCCCACAGATAAAAGTGGAGCTTACAAAACAAACTGGAGCCATAAAAGACGGTGTGGAAATAAGAGAAGTGGCATCTGAAGAATCAAAGGTTGAAGAAATGAAGGAAGTAGCTAATGAACTGTCTGAGGAAGATCAAGAAATGAAGGATGAAACATTTAACAGGATTAAAGGAATAGAATGAAAGCATGAAGAAATAAAAGACGGGAAAGAAGCTTTTGATTCTCAAATGCATGAAGTGGAAGAAAGTGAAAATGCAACTGTTAAGTTCAGCAAAACTGATAGTGAAGTTACAAAGTCGCAGGCAGTAAGTGTTGATTCATCTGAAAGTGCATGTGATGCAGAGATAGGAGAAGCTGATGTGCAGTTTAAGCAGTGTACTCCAGTATTGCAGGAAAATTCACCCACTTCACAAACTGGGTGTGTGCCTCAGAGTGCAGGTTTTGCAGACAAGGACTTGATTCTAAACCTAGATACTTCTGCTTGTAAAGGATCAGATTCTATTTATGATCCTGGTGCAAACATTGGAACTGGCTTTCAGGAAATAAAGGTAAATAAGCATGTACCATCTGCTAAAAATACCAAGGTGAACTGTAAGCATGCTGCGAATGAACTACTGAGTGGTGAACAAACTGTTTCAGATCTTTCTGTGGATGAAAAGTGGGAAAGGACTAAACCTTCAGACTGTGATATGCGTAAAAGGAATACATCTGAGAATTGCAGTGGAAAAGTGTTTGACCCAGGTATAGTTTAATGAAAAGTCTGAGACTGAAATTCATTCTTAACTTTAATTTGTATAATTTAAAATTGTGATGTGTTTAATTTGTTTATGTAACTTGTACATAGTGTAAATATCTGTTTCTTTAGTTATGCTATTTATTTATACCTTATGTTTGTTTCATTACATTTTGTTGTATCGAATTAGGCTTCTGACCAAGGGTTGTACTGTCCGGGATGCAGTCCTTGGGAGGGAGCAGTGTTATGAAATGTGCAGGCATGGTAAGATAGCTTCCCTGCCAAGCAGGTTTAGGGTTGCCATACAATGGCAAGGGAAGGCAGGGTTCGCACATTTGGCGAGAAATCACCCATTTGGAGACAAAATTGGTGATATGCCATGGATGCATGGAGAACCTTCTGGAACGAATTCTTACCGGTTTAGCCCAGAATGTTCTCGAACACAAGCCAAAAGCTATATAAACCCTGCTGGTCCACAGTCAGTTAGTGCGTGCCTCGTCTAAAGAGCTGATAGTCAGTAATTGAGAGAGGGCCTTGTCTAGAGTGCGAGATAGTGTGTCTCATCTAGTAGTCCATGCGGAGTTGATCGAATTGACAGCCGGACAGCAAGTGCTGAGTGGGACGTCGAGCGCATTGAAGAGTCTTTTAGTGTATCACAGTTAGTGCATTGTTGAGAGAGTGTGTTAAGCTCTGGGAACGACTGAACCGAAGAGTCGGGAGCTGTGCCCTGTGTGTCATTGAGTGCATCGCGAGTTGTAGCGTGGAGAGTCTCTCCAGAGTACACGGAGTTCCAAGAACGACCAAGCAGAGTCAGGATCTGTACTCTGGTGCAGTGAAGCTGTCTTCACCATTATTGCCTGACAGTGTGAAAGCTGTGTCAGTGAATGTGTCAGCGTGTTTATAACAGTTCAATGACTGTAAAAGTTATTTTGGAGCTGTCCTGATTAATATTGGTAAATAAAGTGTGTTTTGATATTCCATTAAATGCTGTCGTTGTTATTCACTCCAAATCCACGTGAACTCCGCACGAACGTGAAGGAAGAAAATAATGTAAGAAGTGGTGTCAGAAAAAATAAACAAAACGTAACACTATGTACCCTTATTTGCAAAACCGAGATGTGAGTGATTAATAATGTCTTTGGGCAAACTACAGTCTCAGTAATTAGCGATATTTAACAAATATGGTTTCATTAATTACCAAAACATATAACATTTATATTATAATTGCTTCCTCATCTTTAGGGGAAAATTTGGGATTTGTTTATTATGAGAAGAAAATATGTATTGCTAACTGATTATAAGTCATCTTATTTGTTTTTTATTATGTTCATGAATTTTGCATGCAAGAGTATGGTACTTTATGTATTTAATTTATTAAACCATCCTAAAAATTTTACTGATTTTCCTTTGTGCTGCATAGCTAGTGGGCTCCCAGTGCTGCAAGTCATAAAATTTTGAATCTTATTAATCTTTAAAGCTTTTGTAATTGAAAGTGTCTGTTAAGATCAGTATTTAAGAGAGAGAAAAAAAAAAAGAAAACAACACCTGTAGATACCTTATATAAACACCCTACACATGCACTCTTACATACATACGAATAACATGAGAATTTTATATTCTTTACAGATGTAATAAATCTGTCAATGAGTTAGTATTATATACGGAAAATTTACCTTTTAAGATAATACAATAAAATCAGGTGTTTACATTTCATTGTTTCTCTTTTTTAAAATCTTTTTGAATCCCAACAGTGGGCGAGCGTACAAGACCACTGAATGCTGGGAGTTCTGGGCTGAATTCAGGCTAGGTGCATGGTTGGTTTTCATGATTTTCCTGATGGTTATCATGAATTTGAGCCAGTTTGTCCCTTAGAGAGTCCACCACAAAGCCGTTCATCCCCTTATGAGGAAGACATCATGTGCTTTGCCATATTCATATAACCTAATATAATTTTTGTACCCATTTACCCATTATTTTAAAGTTATTATGCCACATTGTACCAACTTGTGAACAATTCATATTAAATTTCAATTAGTAGTCTTTATTGCATGCTGCTGACCAACTTACAAAGATAAAGAGCATTTTGCTAACACATGTTAGCATGGTGAAATCTTTATGTCTGTAAAACCAGTGAATGTCTATTATTTTTTCATTTTACTTCTGTTCTTTCATTAATATCTGACAGAATGAGACAGAACCCATGAAACGTTGAAATTTAGCTTTAAGTGATGTACATCCTTGATAAAATAATCATTCCTCGTGATGTAAATTTCCCACTAAAATGGTTTCTCCATTGTTTTGAGATTGAAATTACTGAATGTGTTTGCTGATTGGCAATGATTTTATGTATGTTATATTTATTTTTTGTGTAATTACGAATATTTAAATTTTAAATATTCATAAATGTGAATGTTTAACAATTAAATTTGTGTGTGTAATTTAAAAAATAATTTTAATACATTTTTGGTAAATAAATATTTATGTTATGAATACTTAAATTTTAAAGGATCTAGCAGCCTATTTGTATGCACTTCTTTATGAAAGCTGCACATTATTGAGCCCTGCAAAAGTCCACATTTATTAAAAAGTGACATTTGCCAAAAAACAAAGGCAAAGTCATCTGAAAAAATAATAATTTGACCCTTGAATCGATATAGTTATATGAGTTGCATGAATATTTAACATTTTAAAATTCATTCCTTTATCTACATTATTTATTTATGGGATGTGTGTCTCTTACATGCTTGCAGCATTTCAAACATAGTATTATAAATTTAATATTAAATATTTGTTTTTCTGTTTCCAGTAGTACTTTATATATATACATTATGTTTATATATTCAGGTCCAACAATTAAGAATGTTCCTGTGACTGTTAATAAAACATCTAGTACCACATTTGATGTTACTTTCAATCCTCAAGAAGTTGGTAAGTGTGCATTTTATGTAATATTTTATGTTTTCACAAAGAGTTTAAATGACAAAATGAGGGAACAAAAAGTTATTGAAAATGAATTTGTTTTTTAATTTATTTTAGCTTTTAATGTGCACTAAGATACGGTTTACTGTATGTAAGGTTATTTTTTACTGTGCTTTAACATCATTCAAGCAAGAAAATTAATGAAGTATTAAAAAGTCAGAACTGGCATTTACTTATACTTTTTTATTAACATAGTAAGCCGTGATTTTCTTTGTTTTTGTTGATAATACAGGTTAACTTTTTTTTAACCACTGCTGTGTGATCTGACATCACTCATGGTGTATAGGATGTTTTACCCAAGATTGCTGGATTTGAGGAGTGCGATCTCTTAGTTTTTAGAAGCGTTTAATTTTTAGGAATTAGAAAATTATACAGTTATACAATTTCTTTTGAAAATTTCATTTTCTTTTAGCAAGTTAATTCTTATTTGTATAAATTATTTTTATTCTAAATAAAAAATGATGCATAAGTTTATAACCGAATAGTTTCATTACTTTCATGTTGGTGCTGCAGAAATTCAGTATTTAGGCATAAAACTGAATTACAAAAATTTTGTTTTATGGGCAATAAAGTTTTTGCAGAAACATTAGTTCTAATAATTTCAGAGCTGCTCACAATGAAAAAATGCTCACATTTCTGCAATCAAATTGTAGACATGTGTCACAGTCTTTGAAGCTGCATTTTTATGCATACATATGCACTTTTCATGTAAACTAAGGGACATAATAAAAAATAGGTACACTAGAACTTCTTTTTTGCACTATTGTGAATTGCTTGTATTGTTTGCTTCATGCTTTACTTTATTGAATCACATTTGTGCTCTTAAAGTTGATGTGAGCTACAGATTCTTATCTTGCTTTCTCACCATCTGATTACCTATCTGCTATAAGTGCCATTAATCTTAAATTAAATTTTAATTTATTTGTAAATTAAACATTTTTCACCTACAAATACCTTTGTTTAAAAATTTTTATTAAACTTTATGTGAAATGTTAATGAATTTGTTTAAACATATTTTCTTTGAAATCAGTTTAAGTGGGAGTAAACTGTAAGTTTCTGTGGAAGTAAGCTGTAAATTAAGTTAAACTGTATTCAGTATGAAATTTGATTTAATTTGAGTTCTCGTAAATTCTCACATGAATTTTGATGTAAAGTTGTAACTTGGTATATCAAAATGAACTTTTTTGCATTTTTTGCTGTTGTTGCTCATATGGTGATTTTTTTAATAGGTATGCACTTGCCAATTGAGCACTTATAATAAATTATGGTTGAACTGTATCATTTAATCACTGAGAAGATTGCTTGGTGTATATAATAGATACAAACAAAGTAAGGGGAATTTACATAAGCAAGCTTATACTGAAGTAGAACTTGCATTGTTTGAATTTTCACCAGTTTCTGCAAACAGTCATACCATCTGGAGTGTTTGTGGGGGTGATGCTTGATTTTTCCCGTTTTCTGCACCAAAATGCCTGATACTGTACAATGGTGCTCAAACTGTAGAGACTGTTATAAATGTAGCTGGTAACTTGTCACCACTTGGATTTTTTTGATTGGGTTTCATATTTCACACATTGTGATGTGGAGCAGAATGGGAAGAATTATTGAATTTTCCAGTGCCTACTATTTTAGTATAAGTACTAGTTATGTAGTGTTGGGATGCAAGTGCATATCGGATAGCAAACAGAAAATCTGCGATTCCAGTGAGAACGTGAGCACTGTTGATGTTTCGCATTTCTTCCTCCTGAAAGCCTGATACTCTGTACAAACCAATTATCTTACTTTTTTTTTTAAATACAGTGTAACCTGTTTACATAATTAGAGCTTAACATAAAATGCAACAGAACATTAAAATAATTTATGGAATCGGCAGCGTAGAAGAACATTTGTAAAGAATATTTCCCAAATAACAGTGGGAAAAAGCTTATTCTTAAATAAAATAGTTTAAAATGATAAATTATACTTTGAAGTTCATGTTTTCAAGTCCAAGCATGAAAGGAGAATTTATTGAGAAAATATTTATATCACCGTTTCAATGAATCCTTCAAAGTTTTTAATGGCTTTGAATATCTGAATTTGTTTGTTAGCAGACATTGATTGTTTCAAGTTATAATTTTATTATTTATCTTATTAATTTATTTATTTTATTAACTTTTCATTGTATAATAGGTCCTCATCAAGTTTTGGTAACACTAGATGATGTTCCTTTGCCAGGGAGTCCATTTACTTGCAATGTGTATGATGTTTTTAAAGTAAAAGTATCTAAACTAGTCCCTGGTTTTGTAGGAAAGCCTTGCACCTTTCAAGGTAATTCAAAATCTGTAATAAAATTTATAAAATATTTAAATAAATTTATAATGTATTTCAATTTCTAATCCAGTATTTTTATGAACTTGCCTCAAAGGTGCCAACTCACCCAATTTAGGTAGGGGGACTGGTTATTTTTATCTTGCAAACACAGTTTTCAAGATATTTTTCTATTAATCCTAAAATTCTCTTGACTTTTTTATATAAATTTTAATAGGGTGCAGAGTCAAAAATCTAGAGGTACAATATCCAGAATGATCTAATATTCAGACTTTCTGAAATACCAGCTAAAAATAAATTCCCACCCCACATAGAATCCAGGAATGGAGAATATAATACTCAACAAAAAAGAGCGGATGTGCTGAATATGGAATTTTTTTCCTGTTCTGACTGAGATTCCTGTATGTCATTTGCAAACACCTGCTGACCAGGAAATCACACCATATCTAATAACAATGTATTGGTTGATGCTCTGTTGATATTGATTAGGATCATACTTTTGGTGGTTGTTGATGAAGGGGCACGGTTGGTGCTTCCATTTTGGTACCCCCTGTTCAATCTCTGTGGGTCATAAATTCTGTTGCCTAGTTTCCCTGAATTCTAAAATATATGTTGCGCTGAATTCTGTTGCCAGTGTCTCTTCTGAACTCTGAAAATTTCATCATCCCATATTTTTACTGCTCAGTGCTCCTCTAAAATTGGAAATTTGTGCCACCTGTTACAGGTATACTGTGTGTGATGCTGACCTAATCGGGGGATAGCACTCTTCTATTGATCTAAACAATTAACAAAGCCCCAATATTGCCATGTGTACAAGTCATCTTACTAGATTTTAAACTGATGATCTAAAAGCTGAAAATTTAAAAAATCTAGAATCATTGAAATCCTAATAGTTTGGATTTAACTAATTGTTTGTAGTCAAAAACTTAATGACTGCCATCTGAAATTGCATGACCTTTTTCTAGATTACCTCTGAAAGAAAAACAAGGTCATTGCATGAGACATTATGATGTGCTGTCACTATACATGTGAGAATAAATATGTCCAAAAACATTATATTCCTGTTTTCCTATGAGCACTGCAGTTCATGAGGCATATATTATCAATAAGTGCGCAATAAGTTTCACTTGTTTTGAGAAATGGCTTAAGAATTTTATAGTTTCTCTCTTAGTTATATTTGTGAGAAAAGTAAATTGCACATTCAATTTTCAAAGCTCATACGCAGATTTAAATGCAATGCTTTTGTGGATGCATGCTGTTTGCCACTGCATTTATTATTTTTTTTTTCAAATTTTGCTCTGGGGAAAGGCTGATATTTAACATTGCAGTGTTTTAACAGGTTATTTTGTATATTTTTATTATTTAAGAACAGTTTTTGTCACTGAGATAATTCTGATTTTGCTAAGAAGAATAAAATTATTGCAAGCTTTGTGTTTGGTAGGTTGGCATCTCTAATGAAATAGATAATAAACTAAAATAATAAACTTACAATTCGTATTTTTAGTGGATGCATCCCAAGCAGGGGAAGGAACATTAGAACTTGTTGTAACTACACGGAAGTCATCAGTTAGAGCAGAAGTATCAATGAGAAGTCGTGGTCTTTATGATGTTACTTTCGTACCTCAGGATAAAATCTCTCATTATGTTAATATTACATTTAATGAAGAAGATGTTCCAGGTTTGTTTTGCTTGTTGTTTCAGTGTTTTTTAAATCTTTAGTATATGATTGTCATCATAAATATTTACATATACATAATAAATTTCAATAGGAAACTAAAAGCTTATTATTAATGTTTCAATTATTGTAAATGTTTAGATTTATTTATGAATTAATGGAGAGAAAAGAAACCTGTAGTAACAATTATACCACAGTGTCAGTAATAGTCCTTATGCAGCCTTTACATCTGCAGTTTTCATCATTGCAAACATTGTAATTCATATATTTCATTGCATGTTCATTACTACATGTTATTGTTGCATTCATATGTTTCAAATTACAAAAAGGCTTTAAATAAGGAACATATTCATGTTACAGCATTTCTAAATTAAAAAAAGTCCTACTTATATAAAAAATATGAAATCTAACTTTTTATACGGCACACTGGTTCCTATAGTTATGTTTAGTAATAGTTTATACTCATTCTAAAATATAAAACACAGAAATTTTTAATTCTGTACCACAAAAAGTTGACCGAGATACTTGATTTTAAATATTCTGATGAAATTCGAGGTTATAAACAAATTTGAGAGGAACACATTTGCATCTTTATGTAAGTAAAAGTGAGAGAAAGCTTTTAAAATAAATTATGTGATGAACATTGCTATGTAGACTGTGGTTAAAAGTATCAGTTAACATAAGGTTTTTTTTTTTTTTTTTTTTTTTTCAAAAAAGGATCTTATTCACATAATTTCATAAAATTCATATTCTAGAAGACGGTAGCAAGTTTCAGTATTGGCAGGCACTTAGCTAGGGGTGTGCCCTGGACACCTGGGCACCTTCCCACTTCACCAGTACCTATACTTAAAAAAAGTGCTAATTAATTTTCAATGGATAAAACTTAAACTTTTAAAATATTGCTTTCTAGCTTCCCAAACAATAATTTGATTAATAAAGAATGAACAGAAAGTCTACGATTTTCAATTTAGAAGTAAGATCAGGAAAAGTCATCCTTCCTCACCAAATAAGTGGCAGGAAAGTACTTCGAAGGTTAGGTGACACTTTCAAGTCGTAAATATTTTGTTCTTTTACAGTTTTGAATAGCACTCCACATCCGGTCCCACTTTCCCTTTAGCTATCAAGCTTAATGTCACTAAAGAAGAAAAAGCCCTTTCGTTTCGAACCAACCAAGCATCTAAAAGCATAATGTTTAAAAGAAAATAAGTATTTAGAAAAAAAAAAAAAAAAAAAAAGGTTGTTATATTACATTAAATTAAAAAAAAATTAGTACTTCTTCCCCTGAGATTTTCGATTTAAGAAGGGTGCAAATGATATGTTCCCATGCACCTCGCTTGCTGGTAATACTTGCGTGACGTTCAGTTTGTTTTGAGCTCTGAATTTCAATATTTGATAGAATTTTTTTTTGCATGTCTGTCTGGAAATACCAACCTTTGAATTTAAGTTTTATAATTGCTGTATTTTAATTAAAATGAAAGCAAAAAATCTAAAAGGTTTCAGATTTTAAATTACGTCCAAAGGGACATTTTTTTTAATGTTGTGTGTGTTACATTTATTTATTAAATATCATGTTCTGCTTACTCAAACTTTAAAATTCAGTTCAACAGCAATATCACAAATTAATTTTAAAATGAGCATATCTTTAGAATTTCCGATACAGAGTCTCGCGCGCAGGGGATAAAAATTGTTTTTTCGTACTCTGTTGCCTAAGCTCACTTTGAAATCGTTTAGTTTTTTAATCAAAAATTTGTTGAAGTGTTACAAACTTAAAAGTCGATAATAAAACAAATTTCAAATTCAAATTAGGGCTTCCACATGCCCATATTAAATTTTGATGGCTCTAGGTACCATTGTTTTTTTACAGTGCAAGAAACATACATACATTTATGCCGATTCTTCATTATTTAATTTCTTTAAATATAAGATGGGGCAATAATATATGGTAGCAACAATTTGGAAAGTGATAAGCCTTTAACGGTTTCAACGCAAAAAGCCAAAATAAAATTAATAGTCTTTCAGGGCAAATTGTCCCTTTGGACTAAATGAAGAAGAAGAAGAAAGGAAAAAAAAACAAGTTTGGGTATTTAATTTTGAGATTTGCTACTTATTATTTAAATACTGCACAAAAGAGGGAAAGTAAACACAATAAAATAAGTTTGATTGGTTGTTTTTAACATTAATATCAAAGTTCAGTTAAGTCAATATATATAACAAAAATATTAAACTTTTTTTTTTTTGAATAATGTAGAGAGCATGTCAACTTCGATGATTTCAGTGCAATGAATTTTATTTTATTACTCATCTAGCAATTTAAACTATTGTTATTTAAAATGATTTAATAGGGTAGTTGTTAAATATGCAGATAGTTCATTCACTGCCAAGTAATTAATTTTATTATTAGCTCAAAGGGGCAAATTGTTCAGAAGGGCTATTAATTTCGTTTCGGCATTTCGCGCTGGTTCAATATAAACGGCATTTCGCTTTTCAAATTGTTGCCACCAAATATTAGAGTGCATTATATTTAAAGAAATTAAATAATGAATCTGAATGAATGTATGTATGTTTGTCGCATTGTGAAAAAACAACCGTAACTAGAGACTTCAAATTTTGAATAACATAGTCTTTCACTCGAGTATGGACATCTGGAAGCCCAAATTTGAAATTTGTTTTATTATGTATTTCATGTTTTGTAAGTTTTTAATGAATTTTCGATTAACGAACTCAGCCATTTCAAAGTGAGCAATGGTAACACTGTACGAAGAAAGAACGTTTTTATCTCCAGTGCACGATACTGTGTATCAGAAATTCAAAAGATATACTCTTTTAAATTTATTTTGTGGTATTGCTTTTGAATTGAATTTCGTAGTTTAAGTGCGGAGAACATGATGGTTAAATAAATAATGGCAACACACAAAATGTTACAAAAAATGCCCCTTTGGTCATAATATAAAATCTGAAAGCTTTCAGATTTATTTATTGTGCATCTGTGTTTGGGATAAATAATCAGATAATTAAAAGGAAGTATAAAACAGGAGAATTTAAATAGAATGTAAAAAGTGCATACCCCACTAGTGGGTAAAATGTATAAGACTTCTAAACAGTGTTAGTTAGACATAGGTTAGAATATCAGGGAACGAGCTGAACAAGCTTTTATAGTTTTTCCTGTGTATAAGGGTAAATACAACCCAGTTTCCTTTAGAAGTCCTCTAAATATGGGATGGCATTCCTTCCCATAGACAGATAACCTTTGTATGCTTTTTCCATACTGATTTAAACAAACAGTAGCAAGCATATGTGAATACTAATTATAATGATAAAAATTTGATGTAATTGTAAGATCATATACATTGTCGACATCAAGCCGAAACCACGACAACATCCCTTTCCAAGGAAAATAATTTTATTGACATGGGCTTTATTTTTCAAAAATTGATGTTCTACATCAGGGTTTCTTAAACTGTGGGTCGCGAACCGCAAGGGAGTCGCGGGACTTGCAGCAGGGGGTCGCCAAAACTTTTAGCAGTTTTGATATTTCTTTAACTTATTATAATAATTTTACAATTACCAAATATTTTTACACAGTGTGTCTGGGAAAAAGTAAAGATAAGACAATACAGACAAATAAAAAAAAATAAAACGTTTCACCATTCTTTCTATAATATAAACATTCATTTTCCTTGCTTTGCATGTTACGTTGCCATTTTGTCTGTTACTTATTTAAAATTTCCACATTGTTCTATGTCTTAAAATTAGAAATTAAAGTTAATGACCTAAAACTGCAATAGTGTATTGCAGTACAGGTGAAAAAAATTGACAGTTTGACTCACACGTGTGTCGAATTTGTGCAATACTTATGGGGTCTCAAAAAAATTTTATAAGTATTATAAGGTCCTGGGGGTAACATAAAATCTCAGTGATTAAAAGGCGGTCGCAACTAGAAAAAGTTTAAGAAACCTGGTTCTACATTATAGTTCTAACATGTTTATCAAAAACAAATGCAGTTTACTTTTTGATCATAATGCAAAACAGAAAAATAACATAAAAAAATTCAGTATTAATATTAAAGGGATCACAATTGTCCTCAGAAGGGAATGCGAAACTATTTTTAATTTTTTTCTGGGTCATTTGTATTGTATAATTAGATGCATGGCCTAAAATTTTAAAATGAATGTTATTCGTTTTTACATTCTATAGTGTAGAACATTGGTTTTTGCAAAATTCTTAAAACTGCTTTTTTGCAGTTTTAAAGCTTTTGCTCCTATGTAAGCAAAAAAAAGTAAACATCTAAAAATAACACAAAATGTAGGCACATACTCTTCGCTCTCTTTCTATGCTTAAGAACAAAGGCATGTCGACGAATAGAACCGAGCCATTTTACTGCACTACAGGAGGTCTAATGGGAATAAACTATGAGGGATCTGGCCAATCTATTCATGAGAAAGTGAAAAGTAACGGATAAGATCTAAAGTCTATGCTTTTGCTACAAATTTTGCTGTGTGTTGTGTTACCAGAAATAATGCTTTAACTTGTATTGAGTTAATACAAATCACTTAAATATGGGATGCCTTGAAAAAAGAAAGGATAAATTAGAAAAAAGTGTAAAAAAAAAAAAAAAAAAGAGTTTTTTTTCTCCAAACACTTATACATTTTCTCATGAAGTGAACTCTACCGGAAACATTTGTTGTGTAAAAAATTAAGCAGTCATTCTGCCTCATTTGAAAATTCTGAGCATTATATAATTATAGCTATTATAATAGTAGATATAATTATAATAAATAAAATAAATTTTTAATGCATTCAAAATTCATGCAGTATGTGCTATTGTGTATTTAAATGTATTTATCTAAACTGAAAAATTTGGTAAGTGGTAAAATTTTTCAATTTTTAATTACCTGCGGTTATGAATTGTACTCAAAACATTAGTTTAATTTGCAATTTAATTTTATTTAACTATACTATTCAGAGATATCATGCAGATAGTTAATGCTGCTAAGTTGCACAGT